CGCAGATAAAGAGTTATCAGCACTTCAGGTATTTATATACAGTACAAACTTCCACACTGTCATCATCATCAACTTTATTTATAAAGCACCTTAACCACTAGCCACAGCTGAAATAAAGTGCTGAACATCTGATACACTGGTTTTAATGTCCAGTTGTGTCCTTTCATTCACAGTTTTGATACCAACAGAGCAGGAGTGGTTCTTGCTAAAACTCACAGTGATGCAGAGCCTGTCAGCTTTCAGCTACTGCATGACCCAGAAGTTTTACCCCTCTGCAGTCCTGTTCTGCCTGCACCTGGACTGACCATCGACAGGCAGACCCATCTCTATGCAAAGATAAGGCTTTTCTGCTCTGACGAAGCAAAACACATTACTTGTCCAGCACCAAAACTTTGCTAGAAAGCTGTGTGACATCTCTAAAATAAGCCGCCGAGGATCGTACGAGTTGCTGACCTGTTGAAGCCTGCAAGGCCGGACCCTGAGCCCTGGCAGGCGGGAGGACCAGGACGAAGGGTGTTTTTTTTAAAAACATTTTATGTATTAAAAAAAAGTTGTTTTGATCAGTGAAGATTAAAAATAAGTAAGCGTTGCCAACTTTTATCATGAAATCCTGTTTTCACTATGACCATTAAATACTATGTGAATTAAAGTTAATTCAACTTAAAAATCATAAAAAAAACTAAATTATTGGATCTCAGGAATATTTCCCTCCAACATGTTTAAAGAAGAGATTCAGCCTTTGGTTCAACATTATTCTAACCCACAGACGTACAAATCACTAAACAAGAATTACACTTTAAATTAAAGCTTTAAATCAAAGATAAAAATAATCTGTATACAAGAAAAAATAATCTGTATACAAGAAACAAAACCACAACGAGTGCAAATACAACAAATGATGAAGAAAAATACAGAATTTTAAATATGGATATCCTGATGCATGCTCAATAATCCAGGTAGAAAAATCTAAAAAAAGTTAAGTCTGGTCCTCTGGACATTCAAAAAACAAAACACAACAAAAAAATGTAGAACCGTTTCGTCTTTCATCCGAAAGACTTCTTCAGTCTGAGGAGCTTATTCAGCTCAGTCTTTTATAACTAGCTATGAACTGAATACAGCTCCTCAGACTGAAGAAGTGTTTCGGATGAAAGACGAAACACTTCTTCAGTCTGAGGAGCTGTATTCAGCTCAGTCTTTTATAACTAGCTATGAGCTGAATACAGCTCCTCAGACTGAAGAAGTGTTTCGGATGAAAGAAGAAAAGTTTCTACAATCATTTTGTTTGTTTTGTTCTTTGAACGTCCAGAAGACCAGACTTAACTTTTATAGATTTAAATATAAATGTTTTTGTAGAATCTGGTTCATCAGATTTAATTCAGTTCAGTTTATTTATACAGCACTAAGTGACAACAGAAGTTGTCTCAGGGCACTGAACAGAAACATTCATATATAAAATATTAATTTAACATTATTTATCGGAGGAGTAGACTGTTTTGACTCATCACAGAACTCTCATTAGCAGGACTTGGATTCTGGACACGCCTCCAGGATCAGTCCTGAAGTGCAGGTGCAAATCCAGGCTGAGCAGGGATGTGCACGGCTGAGCAGAGTTGGGGCTGATTAGGAGCAGTGCAAATGGGGCATACGACTGATCACCCTCCTGACACTGAACAGCATACACAATATTACTCTGTTTTTGCCGGGGGACTGGATCTTTGGGATGAACCAGTCTTTGCCGTAATGTACTTTGGAGTTTAAAAGCCACTGGGACGTTGTGTTTAGAAAATAAACGTGAGGCGTTTATTTTCTAAACACAACGTCCCAGTGTTGATAACAACATTGTTGTTGCTGTTATTATACACTGTTGGCATCACTCTTTGTTAAAATCCAGGTCTTTCTTGTAAATGAGTCCTTGTGGCTCAATGGGACTAATATGTTTAAAAAAAGGTTGAATGAAAAAAAAAGTTTTAGGCAGTTTTTGTTCATGTACTCTTGGGTTCGGATGGACCCAGTGAGGCATAGACTACATCCTGCTTTGTCTTTAACCCATAGTGTGGCTTAAAGGGCTGCACCATATTCATAGAATATGTGGTTACAATATGTTGGATGCTGTCTACCATGGGGTGCCAAGTTTCATAACTGGCTGTAACTACCGTACCCATCACTGGACCCAGTATTCACTGGTGAACTGGTCACCATTAACTTCACACAGACTCTCTCACTGGTACATTTTCATCTTTAAATCACTTCTTGGTCTGCTGCCTTCATACATCTCCTCCCACATGTCATGTCATCAATGCAGCTACAGCGTGCGCTATAAGGCCATCATTACCTGCAGTGTTCCCACAGTGAGGACTGAACTAGACAAAAAGACCTTCTCCTACTCTGCTCCTTTTTCCTGGAACATCTTGCAAAAAGATCTGAAGCTGTCCACTTTGATTTATTTGAGGGATATAAAATATTTGATAAGGTCAATAGAAAAATCCATGCAAATATGTTCTTGTTTTTAGTTTTTTACCTCCTTTAATATGGCATCTTGACTTGACTGTGTTTATAACTTTTTTATTTGATTTAAAGTGCTTTTTGTTGAATTATTGTTGTCTGTACTTTATACTGTATGTTATCTGTCTATAACAGGTCTCCCTTGAAAATGAGTCATCATGATTCATTGAGACTAATCTGTATAAATAAAGGTTGAATGAATGAATGAATTGAAGGAGTGGAAATATTTTAACTTTCAAATGCATTGTGACATTAAAAACAGAAGCCTTTATTCTGTACAGAGTTGGCGTAAACTTCTCTAGGAGGGCTTCCTGTGAAGATGCCAAACTGATTAAGGGGCCTACACACTGGTGGAAGAGCCTAGAGACTGATAAGGGGTCTACAGACTAATGGAGGGGCCTAAAAACTGGTGGAAGAGCCTAGAGACTGATAAGGGGCCTAAAGACTAATGGAGGGGCCAAAAGACTGGTGGAGGGGATTGAAGACTGGTGGAAGGGCCTACAGACTGGTGGAGGAGCCTATAGACTGATGGAGGGGCCTACAGACTGGTGGAGGGGCCTACAGACTGGTAGAGGGGCCTAAAGACTGGTAGAGGAGCCTATAGACTGATGGAGGGGCCTATAGACTGATCAAGGGGCCCACAGACTGATAAGGGGCCTACAGACTGGTAGAGGAGCCTATAGACTGATGGAGGGGCCTACAGACTGGTAGAGGGGCCTACAGACTGGTAGAGGTGCCTAAAGACTGGTAGAGGAGCCTATAGACTGATGGAGGGGCCTACAGACTAGTGGAGGGGCTTACAGACTGGTGGAAGGGCGTACAGACTGGTGGAGGGGCCTACAGATTGATGAAGGGGCCTACAGTCTGATGGAGGGGCCTACAGACTGGTGGAGGGGCTTACAGACTGGTGGAGGGGCCTACAGACTGGTGGAGGGGCCTACAGAC